TTCATCCCCCATATAGTAATTCATCCCCCATAGTAATTCATCCCCCATATAGTAATTCATCCCCCATAGTAATTAAATCCCCCATATAGTAATTCATCCCCCATAGTAATTCATCCCCCATATAGTAATTCATCCCCCATAGTAATTAATCCCCCATATAGTAATTCATCCCCCATAGTAATTAATCCCCCATATAGTAATTCATCCCCCATAGTAATAATCCCCCATATAGTAATTCATCCCCCATAGTAATTCAATCCCATCCCCCATAGTAATTCATCCCCCATAGTAATTCACCCCCCATATAGTAATTCATCCCCCCTATAGTAATTAATCCCCCATATAGTAATTCATCCCCCATAGTAATTCATCCCCCCTATAGTAATTCATCCCCCCTATAGTAATTCATCCCCCATATTAAGTCCCCAAGCCCCCCCTGTGTCAATTCACTTACCTTTGCTCCGCGCGTTCCTCTCGCCGTTCCGGTGTAGCATGAAAAACTGTCTCCTATGAGGATCTGTCCCCCTCGACGTATCTGCGCATGTGCCAGTTTCAGGTATTAGCAGCCGATCGCAGATACGTCGAGGGGGACAGATCATCCCTGACAGTATCACGCTCCGCGGGCCGGATTAAAAGGTCCGCCGGGCCGTAGTTTGCCCATTGCTGTTCTAATGATTGGTCTATTTGTGAGCCGAGGCCACATGTTACGGATAAAATTGCAATTTTTCCCACGGCACACCAGACAATATCTCACGGCACACTAGTGTGCCACGGCACAGTGGTTGAAAAACGCTGCTCTAGCTGGTCTAAAACCGCTTTTGACCTAAAGGGACGCTTTTTGGACGCCATGGACGTTTCTCAGTTTCCAGGCAGAAAGAACAGTAAAAATGCTGGCAGGGCACAGGACAAAGCACTAGGGACAAAACGTATGCGAAATGGTTTGATACAGTAATGTTATACTATGCTATTTTAGTGAATGTCACTTTTTGTCATTTTCAAATTTTCTGCCGTTCCGTTCCGTCCCCCGTACATCCTGACGTCGCAGGGAACGGAACCCAGAAGACAGATGCCGGGGACACTGAAGGAGGGACATCGTGGGAGCGCAGGACAAGGTAAGTGATCGAGGGATCCCGGAGCAGCGCCGCATGGTATGCCTGAGTGTAGCTCGGGGTTACCGCTTGTGATACTGAAACTTTACCCTGAGCTACACTCGGGAATACCACCAGGGAGGCTACGGAAGTTGAAAAATAATAGACTTACTGGTCAAATCACCAGGTGAATATAAAGTAAATATAAAAATTAAATTTAAAAATGTAAAACAAAATCCTATAAAAGAACTAATGTAGCCACCACATCTAAATATGGCTAAACAGCGCTATTTTAAATTTTTTTATTTTTTCATTTAGATTTGCTTTAAAAAGGGAAAGGAAATCTGTACAACTTTAAAGTAAAGTATTTTTTAGGTAAAGCTAATTAGTGTATGTATACATGGAAAAAGCCATATATTATTCTTGCATATACACACAGTGCTTTATTGTCTCTGAGCACTGTCACTGTGTTTTACAGGCTCTCTATCAGTACAAGTCTATAAATGTGATAAGAATGATTGAAAAAAATAACACAATGCCTAGATGGCTTATCATGTAATTGCATTTATCCCAGCAGTTGTTCAGTAGGATAGTAGAGGGCATTTTGTGCCAATCTGTATAAAAATATTTAGGAAAGGAACAGCAAACAAGTAAAATGTGAAAGTCACGTGGGAACACTTGTTGAAGTTTCAGCTGTCGAGGAGGGGATATTACTTTGGTGAGACCTCCTCTTATTTCCTATTGAGTCTACATGATAAAAAAGTGAAGGGAAAACTCTCCACAGATGGCCAAAAAACCCTGATAATTCTTTTAACCATTCCCTATTTCATTCAAAATAAAAATAGATTTTGGCTTCAGATATACTTTAAAAAATAACAGAATTTTGCCATTACAAACTCTGATGAGACCTCTGTCCCCTTGCCTTCCTTATCAAATGATTGAAAGTAATCACAGACCTCAGATGCAGAGCTGTTAGGAGATCAGTCAGTGTCCTTGCATTACAGTGACAGCTAATGCTGCAATTTTAGTATCAGCATTGCATAATCAGTGTAACCCCCCTGGTGGTATTCCCGAGTGTAGCTCGGGGTATGTTTCAGTTCCGGAAGTGGTAATCCCGAGCTAAACTCGGCATTACACTGCAGCGTAGCTCTGGGATCCCTGCATCGCTTACCTTGTCCCGCAGTCCCACGCTGTCCTCGTGCTGCGTCCCCGGCCATGTCCTCTGGCCAATGCCGGCATCCGTCTTCGGGGTTCCGTTCCCTGTGAGCGTCGGGACGTACAAAGGACGGAACCGGTGGGAGATTCAAAAATGTAAAAATTTTACATACACATAATACACTAAAATCTGATAGTATTACATTACTGTTTCAAACCATTTCACATACATTTTATCTCTCCTGCTTTGTCCTGTTCCCTGTCTGCATTTTTACTGTTTTTTCTGCCTGGAAACTGAGAAAAGTCCATGGCATTCAAAAAGCGTCCCTTTAGGTCAAAAGCGGTTTTAGACCACCTAGAGAACAGCGATAGTAAATTAGAACCACTTGCAGAATTGAGTGATAATGATTTGTGGAGAAATTCGTCATCAGACACTGAAAATGATTCTGTGACTAAGCTCAGTGATGTGCGAACTTGGCGCTCTATTTCAAATTTCAGTGTTTTTGGTTTGATTACATTATTGAATAAAAATGTATTATTATTATATTATTTTTTATGATTATTATATTATAATTTATGATTTCGTATTTAAAATTTTATCATACCCAGGATGTTTACTAGATTCTTGTTCGGACAGATTTCAGTGAGTTATTCCTAAGAATTACAGGCCTACAATAAAAAAAACAACATATTTCCATTGAAAACAATGTACCGCTTTGAGCACAGAAATACTGACATAATCATACCGCTAGGGGAGTTAATACACAAGGAGAAACTATAGTTATCCCCTCATTGTCCTGCTGGCCTCTATTTTAAAAACCTTCCACCTCCATAATATAATTCCCTCCAGGATAGCTAGATAGGTTTTGTTGTTTTGATTTTTTAGCTAGAGGTTGAGTAGTATCCTAGGATGGGATGAGGAGGAGGCCCAGATCTGCATGTTTGAGGGACCTTGGCCAATCCCTTGGCAGAAGGCTGAGCAGAGTGACTAGGGCAACCCTCAAATGTGACAGAGTCTGGGGAGCAGTGGGCAACGTTGGGGGAAGATGGATTGAGAGAAGGCTGGAATGTGGAGCGTGGGGGAGGGGGCCCCAGGGAGGGAAGTATACCTACAGGCCTAATGCTGGATGTGAGGGAGGCAGCCCAGCGTAAGGCCTGAAGGCAGCCACCAACCCACCACGCTAGCAGGCGAGGACAGTGTGAATACTCCTACACCCATTGGGCCAGATAAAGGGAGAGGGCGATCAGGTGCAATACCCAACTAGTCTTCACCCTGGACTGCTTAACTGCAAACTCTTGGGACCCCCTTGCTGAGAAATACCCTCAGCACAGCTGGGTGAAGAGGAGGATTCATCCGGGGTCTGAAGAGGTACACCAAGAAAAAAGGGACAGTGCTATATTTTGTCTAGTCTGCCTTTTCTTGTACATAGTTGCTAATAAGTTTGTTCTCAAGTTCTACAGTCCCTTGGGCATCCTGTATACCCCTAGACCCCATCTAAGTTGTTAACTCCTAAATAAAAAAATAAAAAAACTACTAAAAACCAGCTCAAGGACTGTTTTATTGACTCTGAAAGTACAAGTGCAGTGGCGGACTGATAACTCATGGGGCCCCCGGGCAAGAGGGGATCATGGGGCCCGTGTCCTTGTCCAAACTCAAAAAAGCCTATGAAAAAGGTACCAGGGGGATCTCATGGGGCCCCCTACTGACAGGCAGTGCCCGAGTTTCCATATGGTCAGTCCGCCCCTGTACAAGTGTGAAAAAATATGTGTTGCCTGGCCACGCAAAGCTTAGGGGGAGCCAAAACGAACCCAGCAGCCCTCAAGAGGGTAGTGCTACAATAATAAATCTAGAAAGTACTGCAAATAATAACTGTGAATAAATAATACAGCCAATACCAAGTTGTTGAGAAGGCTATTTAGCTACGTAGTCATTTAATAATGTGCCTACCACTTTCTAATAAATACATATATGTTTTCACTATGTCACATTTCTATTACAAGGAAGATTGGACTAAAAAAAGTATCACCAATATAAACATAGAAAAGTAAAATACAAAGGTAAAGATATAGCTAAGTTGAGAAGGGGGAATCCCACAGTACACATCTCTGGCTCCTGTTTGTCAGACTAGGCTGTCAAGTTAACAGTGAGTCCTTGTTTGGGAGTGTGCACAATAGAGAGGAAGATTAGAAACATTTATAAACATCTTATGCAGGCCATAGATGGGTCGTTTATCGGCCGAATTTTCGTCTGCACGAAAAATCGTCCGATATTCACGCCGTTAGTGGGGTAATACCGTTTACCGGTAATACTGTAATACCGATTTCGTGGATCTTCTCGTTTACTTTTATCAGTCATGCTGGAAAATCCAAGAAAAACGGCCATTTTTCGTGGACATTGGTGGCAGCATTGCTGCCAGCAACGACCGATTTTTCGTTTATCAGCCGAAAATTCGGCCGATAAACGACCCGTCTATGGCCTACATTAGTCTTCTAGGCTGTTTAGATAACATGCAGAGTTCTCAGTCAGCTTTCCACTTGCACCAGCTATATAGGTAGTAGACATGTGCATGACGGAAATGTTCGTTTCAGGTGCATTCGTTAACTGAAGAATTTAACGTATATTTTTTGCTCCATAAAACGCACCTGACCATAAGACGCACCTAGGTTTTAGAGAAGGAAAACAAGAAAAAAAAATATTCTGAACCAATGGACTGCAGACAAAGTACAGGAAATGACCAGAGACTGCGGATGTACTACAGTAGATGACCAGAGACTGCAGACATAGTACAGGAGATGACCAGAGACTGCAGACATAGTACAGGAGATGACCAGAGACTGCAGACATAGTACAGGAGATGACCAGAGACTGCAGACATAGTACAGGAGATGATCAGAGACTGCGGACATACTACAGGAGATGACCAGAGACTGCGGACATACTACAGGAGATGACCAGAGACTGCGGACATACTACAGGAGATGACCAGAGACTGCGGACATACTACAGGAGATGACCAGAGACTGCGGACATACTACAGGAGATGGCCAGAGACTGCGGACCTACTACAGGAGATGACCAGAGACTGCGGACATACTACAGGAAGATGACCAAAGACTGCGGACACAGTACAGGAGATGACCAGAGACTGCGGACACAGTACAGAGATGACCAAAGACTGCGGGCACAGTACAGGAGATGACCAGAGACTGCGGACATAGTACAGGAGATGACCAGAAACTGCGGGCACAGTACAGGAGATGACCAGAAACTGCGGACACAGTACAGGAGATGACCGGAACTGCGGACACAGTACAGGAGATGACCAGAAACTGTGGACACAGTACAGGAGATGACCAGAGACTGCAGTCATAGTACACAGTACAAGAGATGACCAGAGACTGTGGACATACTACAGGAGATGACCAGAGACTGCGGTCATATACAGGAGTACAGGAGATGAGCAGAGACTGTGGACATACTACAGGAGATGAGCAGAGACTGCGGATATACACAGTACAGGAGATGAGCAGAGACTGCGGACAGTACAGGAGATGAGCAGAGACTGCGGACACAGTACAGGAGATGACTAGAGACTGCGGACATACTACAGGAGATGACCAGAGACTGCGGACATACTACAGGAGATGACCAGAGACTGCGGACATAGTACAGAAGATGAACAGAGACTGCGGACATAGTACAGAAGACGACCAGAGACTGCAGACATAGTACAGGAGATGACCAGAGACTGCAGACCTTTGGGGAGCGGGGGGGGAAGGTTACCCCAAACTTGACAGATACCCGCTCCCACTTCCGCTGCGAGGAAGTGGAAGTTGTTCTCCCTCCTCCCCGTAGTCTTGTGGGACATGTGACAGGTCCCAGACGACTACGGGGCCATTCACAAAATGCACTGCCACAAGCTGTCACAGCCGGGTGCCCACACTGAAGATGCTGGAGCCGAGGAGAGAAGACAGCCGGTGAAACCAGTGGTGATGAGGACACTGCTGGACTGAGAAACAGATAAGACCGAGGAGCAGGTTCTGCTGCACAGAAGAGCCGAGAGGCCGGCCCGGTATTCTACCATGGCAACGGCCGTTCCATATTCGCTCCATAAGATGCACAGACATTTTCTCCCATTTTTTGAGGGAAAAAAGTGCGTCTCATGGAGTGAAAAATATGGTAATTTTGTCATATTCGAATTAAAGGATGGAAAAAGATTCAGATCCATTTGTTTTCCGAGTCCGAATTATCAAATGTATTTGAAAGTTTTATTCATTTCCCCATGGGCCTGAGCTACTTTTGCTTCATGTGATGTCATCTAAATGAAACTAATTAAACAAATGCATTTCTTAATTTCGTTATAACTTTTTTTTGGATTGGTTGCCATTTTGTTTCTGTGTTCATTCGGAGATTCAGATATCCACCATCAATGCTCACTATCTCTCGCAGCACCATGATGTAAGTTAAAAAGCTGCACCAAAACTGCCAGTCAAAAAGTCCCTGACCCCCCCCCCCCCCATACCTTTCTCAGCAGGCATTAACTCCAAACTACCTCTGGGGATCCACTCAAAGAGTCGGGGAGGCCCTGTCCTCATTGGTAGAAATCAATAAAGCTGCCCCCCTCCCCCCGTGAATCCAGAACGGACCCTGCACCTTTCATACATGAGAGATGCCATGATCCCGACCTAAACAGACACCCCTCCGCTGGCTGCAGCGTATGTCTTCTGGACATGTATTTTGTTCCACTGGGAAGTGAATACGGTCAAAAGGGATACTTCTTCTTTATAACATGAATAGCTACTAAAGGTGGTTAGTGAGTAGCTATAGCTTCAAATGCAGTGAAAAGTCATTTATTCAGACTGAGCTACAAATCTCTTGAATTGCCGAAACACAGACCTAATGAGAGCTAATGTGTAGCTTTTACAAATTGCTGCTTACAAATCACTTGTGGGTGTCAACTCTTGATGGGTTTATGCATGGTTAGTTTAAGATAGAACTAAAGCTAAAATATTTTTTTTTTCATTTTGGATAGGGTAACAGATGGTTAAAAATCTTCTTGAGATTTCCCTTCCCTTCCTGTTACATAGCCAAAACACAAAGCAAGAGGAAAGCCCTCCAAAGTGAGGGAATCCCTGGTTATCACCAAGGGTCATCAGACTTATTGTCCCCATTGGAAAATCTCCCCGCTGTTCCTGATCTGGTGACAATCCAAAATGTAGGATTTTCCTATTCCTAGGGTAAATCTCCCTAACGGGGAGCATGGACACTAATGTGATCCTAACAGATGTCCTAATACCTCTCCATTCTATCTATCAGTAGAAAAAAAAATAAGTTTTGTCTTTTCAGGCTGAAGCTGTATCATTGCCTCTCTATATAGGGTTGCCACCTCATCCCTTTAAAACCAAACACATATGAATTACACAGGTTCCAAGGCTAATCCCAACCACAACACCACCTTCCTGGAGTTTTCATGTTCTCCCTGTGTCTGCGTGTGTTTCCTGCATGCTGGTAGGTTAATTGGATCCTATTTAAATTGGCCCTAGTATGTGTATGTATGGTTGTATGTTAGGGACCCTAGACTGTACACCCCTTGAGGGCTAGGGACTGATGTGAATGTACAATATATATATATATATATAAAGCACTGCGTAAATTGACTATATAAGTACCTGAAATAAATAAATAACTTAACCACTTGCCCTCCTGAGGATTTACCCCCCCCCCCCCCCCCTTCAAACAGAGCTTTCTTTTGATTCTATTTGATCGTCTGTTTGGCTTATATTTTTTGCGCTATTAAACATGTCCATTAAAAAAATAAAAATCTAATTTCCTTATAAATTTAGGACAAAATGTATTCTGATACATATCTTTGCTAAAAAAAATCCCAATAAGTGTTAATTAATTGGTTTACATGAAAGTTGGAGCATTTACAAATGGCGATTATACTTGAATTAAAAAAAAAAATTTTTTTTGTTTACTAGTAATAGCAGCGATCAGCAACTTATAGTGGGACTGCGGCGGGCATTCTAACACAGGGGGGAACGGACTTGGTGTCACTGACATTCCCAGTGACACCAATACAGTGATCAGTGCTAATAAAAAGCACTGACACTGTACTAATGACACTGGGCATGAAGGGGTTAACATCTGGGGCAATCAAAGGGTTAACTGTGTGCTGTTTTGCTATTTGGGCTGTGTCTGTGTTTCACTGTAAGCACACTGCTTTGTATGGCTTTGTTGTGCAGGAGCTGACAGGGGAGAGATCTGTATTGTTTACATACAGGTCTCTCCCCTGTAGGAGATACTCGGCGATCACCAGGTGTCGTCGAGTAATCACTGGCTAGGACCCAGTAATTGACAGCTGAGGTCACGAATGGCCCTACCCGGAACTGCAAAATCCCATATATACTGTATATACGTGATTTTGCGCACCTGTGCTGCCCTGTAGCATGTCTGCTATACGGTGGTGCAGAACTGGTTACTGCAGATAAGGTACTAAGTGAGTTTAATTACCACCTTAATCAGCCACAGAATCTGTTTAAATAATGTGTTCAGTTTTAAAGGGATGAGGTGGCAACCCTATCTCTATATAGTAGCTGGTTTCCGGAGTGTGGCATTTCCACCTTCTGTCTTCTGACCTGTTTCAGTTATACAGTATTTTGCCTGAAGAGCACTCTCTATTTTTCATTTAGCAACAAATCAGCTTCTCTATTTTGTATGGCTAGACTAGGTTAGGGCATGAAAGGAAGACTCTTATTGGTTGCCAGGAAGGCGATTCCTCACTCAGACATGTTACATAGTTAGTCTGGCTGAAAAAAGACAAAAGTATATCCAGTTCAACCATTAAAAAGAAAAAAAAAAAGTTAATCCTATACCCACAGTTGATCCAGAGGAAGGCAAAAAAACCCAGCAAAGCACGATCCAATTTGCTCCTGCAGGGAAAAAAATTCCTTTCAGATCCCCCCGAGAGGCAATCGGATATTCCCTGGATCAACTTTACCTATAAATGTTAGTATCCAGTTATATTCTGTGTATCTAGGAAAGAATCCAGGACTTTTTTTAAAGCAATCCACTGAGCTGGCCAGAGCCAACTCTTGAGGGAGTCTATTCCACATTTTCACAGCTCTCACTGTGAAGAAACCTTTCCGTGTTTGGAGATTACATTTCTTTTCCTCCAGATATAAAGAGTGCCCCCTTGTCCTCTGTGATGACCTCAGGGTGAATAGCTCTACACCGAGTTCACTATATGAACCACTGATGTATTTATACATGTTGATCATATCCCCCCTTAATCTCCTCTTCTCAAGAGAGAATACATTCAGTTCCTCTAATCTTTCCTCATAGCTGAGCTCCTCCATGCCTCGTTATCAGTTTGGTTGCCCTTCTCTGTACTTTCTCCAGTTCCCCAATGTTCTTTTTGTGAATTGGTGCCCAAAACAGAACTGCATATTCCAGATGAGGTATTACTAATGATTTGTACAGGGGAAATATGATATCTCTCTCTCTGGAGTCTATACCTCTTTTAATACAAGAGAGGATTTTGTTCGCTTTAGAAACCGCAGCTTGGCATTGCATGCCATTATTAAGCTTGTGATCTACCAGAACTCCCAGATCCTTCTCCACCATTGATTCCTCAGTTGTACTCCCCCTAGTATGTATGATGCATGCGTATTCTTAGCCCCCAAGTGCAGAATCTTACATTTATCAACATTAAACCTCATTTGCCACATAGTTGCCCAATTAAACAGTGCATTGAGGTCGGCTTGTAAATTGGAGACATCCTGTAACAATGTTATTCCACTGCACAGCTTGGTGTCATCTGCAAAAACTGAAATGGGATTTTTAATCCCAGACCCTATATTGTTTATAAATATATTAAAAAGTAAGAGTCCCAACACTGAACCTTGGGGTACACCACTGACATCCCTAAGACAATGCATAAGATCTTATGACCATCGGCTGCAACATACAAGCAAAGCTGATTGATGTCAGAGAAAAGTCTATTGGCTTAGCTGGATGTTCATGTCCTTAGTGGCGGACTGACAACTCATGGGGCCCCCGGTCAATAGGGGATCATGGGGCCCCTGTGTCCTTGCCCAAACTCAAAAAAGCCTATGAAAAAGGTACCAGGGGCATCTTATGGGGCCCCCTACTGACCCCCCGGCCCTCGGGAAGTGCCCGAGTTTCCAAATGGCCAGTCCGCCCCTGCATGTCCTATAGCTATTGTTGTCCTGAGATAAAGATGGTGCTGGCAATGCCTTATGCAGTCCAATATGAAAGTGATCT